AACACTTCTACACTGCTGGTGGTAAAGCAAACTAGTGCTCATAATTTTAATTAGCCCATACATACCATTTTATAGTCTGCATTTGTATACATATTTCTTTCTTCCTTCTTTTCCTTCTTTCCTTCCTTCCTTCTTTCCTTCTTTTTTTTGAGTTGGAGTCTCACTTTGTTGCCTGGGCTGGGGTGCGGTGGCATACTGATGGCCACAACAGCCTCAATCTGCTGGGATCAGAAGATCCTTCTGTCTCAGCCTTCCAAGTAGATGGAACTATAGGCATGTACCACCACACCCTGCTAATTTTTTTTAAATTTTTTATAGATGAGGTCTCGCCATGATGCCCAGGCTGGTCTTGATACATTTATTTATGTCAGCATAACTTCTATACTTATTATAGTCATAAAGCATTATGTAAGTCTAACAATAACATTCTATGGTGTTAAACATTTTTCCTGTTGTTGGGTTATGATGTTAGTAACAGCAGTAACAACAGCTACCATTTATTGATTGTTTACACCATAAGTGTTCTGTTAAAAGTGTCTTTTAACAAAGTAGGGAGCAACCTTAGTTTGTTATGTGAAAATGCCTAGATTTTAGAATTTGATATATAGCAGGTTCATGAATGACGCTGTTTCATTCAACGTCTTTCTCTTATGAGGTTGATGGGGGACAAAAAAGTTTCTTGGTCAAGGTCACCATCTGTGAGAAATCTACACTTTCTCCCCATGTCTGGGAAGTTTTTTTTCTAGACAGTCCAGTTTTCCTCACATTCCAAAGTTGTGCATGTGAGGTGAACTGTTGTGTCTACACGGTTTCAGTATGAGTGAATATGGGTGTCAGTGTGAGTGGACCTTCAATGGGATGGCGACCTGTCCAGAGTGGATTCCCACCTAGTTACCTGAGTTGCAGGGAGGGACTCTGACCATTGACTCTGAACTACCCTTATTCCACCCTAAATAAATACCCTTATTCCACCCTGGTCAATAAATAGTTGGAAAAGGAATGAATGAATTAATATAAATGATTGTCAAATAAATATTTGACAAGTATATGATAATCATACAAATGCATAACAATAAACAATGTGGTACAAAAGTGCTCAGAGCTGCCATATTTGTGATTAACAGCATGGTGGCAGGAGGTGCCCCTGACAATTTTTCCTTTATACACATTTATTCCTTGATTAAACCCACTACCAGCACAACTGTTGTCACTCACTGATTCATCAAAATTTGAGTAGTTTCCTTAACTTGTTTTTATTAATGTTCCTTAAATGTGTGTACTAGAAGTGTTTTGGGTCTTTGTTTAGAAGTTTGGTGATGCTTTTGTGACTAGAAATATGCCATAGGAAATTTACTCTTTTTTATATCAATTAGGTTCTGGTAAAATTGATTTCATTATAGGTAGTTTTGATTAAAGTTGAAGTTTCCAAGAACTTATTGATTACATTAAGTGAGGACGTACTGTACTTAGGTTTCTAATATCTGTATGATTTCCTATTTTTTTCCCCTTCACCTTCAGTGCCCTTCTCTATACAAATACAAAATAATGGTAGCTAACCTAGAAGTTGCACCTCCCATAGAATCTGACTCATGGTAGATATTCAAGAAATGAGGAATGATTGTTACTGGGGACTACCCAAGGCTAATTACTCACATCTATAAAATAAAGATATTTATATTATTTTATACATACTTCCAGATAAACCTCCAGGATAATTAAATAGTCAGTGTTACCAGCAATATAGTGATTCAATATGCACCAGATCCTCAACAAGGTTACCTTTATTTATTCATTCTTTATTTCTTTTTCCCAACAAATATTAGAATCTGTTATACACCTAGCAGTTATGAAGTCACTATTATACGCCAGGTTGTATCTACCATGAAAAAGTTCCACCTATTCAACAGAAGTCAGAAAACCCTTGTGCCTTCTCTATTGTGAGGCCAGTAGATAGGCAGAAATATGTATGTGTGTATATATGTTTGTTTTTTCAGACATGTCTGTGTGCCCCAGGAGACTATAATTAGCCATCTTAATATTATACCATGTCAATCAGGATGACCAAGATATAGCCACCAAGAAAAGACAGCTAGGTTAAACAGATAATAATATGGTATGAATTGTAATACTTGACATGTATGCAGAATATTATGGCAGTATGTTTATGCCGACAGGACTAAGGATTGTTCAGAATTTGCTTCTGAACTGATTTTTTTTTTAATGAATACCACTCTACCAGTTAAATAGAGAAGAGCCCAAAGTTAAAAGATGCAGTCTACCCAGAGAAAATAGAAGGTACAAAGTCAAGTATGAAGCATAGGAGAGAAGTAAATGTTTGGCAACCATTTTCTATAGGTGTAATCATCATGGCAGGTAGGTTAATATTAGAAGATGAGAGAGAGAATGTAAGCTGAGGTCAGACCTAAAAGATGATGAGAAGCTGGTCAATACCATGTACCTCTGATGTGACAGTATGCTAGACATTTTATATATATTTTTGTCATAGAATTCTCAGAATAACTTTATTTTGGAGGTGATGGAAGTGAGGCTTTATGCAAGTCAGCTACCCAAGGCATGCAACAAGAATATATCAGAATTGGCATTCAGAGCCAAGTCTTGCAGCTCAAAAACCCATCTTCTCTTCACTCTTAAGATGCAATTAAATAGGAAATCACTTAGTGTCTTTTCATTTCATTGAGTTTAATTCTCTGCTTGAAGATAAACCTTAGAGATTTTGTTCTCTGTTGTCTCAGAAACAGATGTTCTACAAAATGTATGTTGACTTCCTTTGGTGTCTTTCAAAAGTAGATGCTTCTTCTCCATGGAAGATGTGTTTTATAACACATTCTTTTTTATAGGTTTTATGCTTTGTTTTGTTTTGCATCTTTACCCATGAATGCATCCTTACCACAACTCACTCCGCCCCTTAAATGGGGGTGAATGGAATCCTTTTTTCACCTCCTTAGGATTTTTCTCTTTGCTTTTATGATCACCTTTCTCAGACCTTCAGCAAGAAGGCTGGTTATCTAAGTTTATCTGTCATTCTGGAGCATGGTACCTATGGGGAGGGAGTCCGAGTCCTGAAGATTTCCTTCAGGAAGATTGCATCCTGGCAAGTTGGAAAAGCACACTATCCTGGTGGCCAGCTTTCCCCATGCATCCTCATGGGCTCAACCTGTGTGTCAGATATGAAATGTGGCTGATTCTGATTTCCTTTCTGGTGAATCCAAAGTAAAATCCTTCCTATGCACAGAAAAAAATGCCCTGCTATACTCAATGCCACTATTACATTTTCCCTGAGGCTCATAACCCTTGGTAGAGAAGCAGATTCCCAACCTCTGCTTCCAATCTACCCTAAAGCTCTCCCTTCCTAGTACATAATTTCCTTCAAATTGAGAATGAACAATTCTCTAGCCCAGAAATCAGCAGTTTCTATAAAGGGTCAGATAGTGTATATTTTAGACCTTGCAGGTCATACTGTCTCTGTTACAATTACTCAATTCTGCCTGGTAACATGAAAGCAACCAGTGACAATATGTAAATTAATGGCTATGGCTGTGTTCCAATAAAACTTTATTTATAGACTCTGCTATTTGAATTTCAAATAATTCTCACAATTCTTTTAATTTGTTTCAAACATTTTAAAAATGTAAAAACCATTCTTAGCTCACAGGCTACACAAAAACTGGCAGCAGGGCTGGCGTTTGTCCACCCCTGCTCTGGATAGCTTGCTATAGTACTGCTTTTTCTGCAAGAGAAATTGGGATCTGAACTTTAGGGTCTCCAGGCTGGCTGTTTCTCTACAGCTTTTCCAATCTAGAGCAGCTTTTCTTAGTTCCTTGTGATTATGCAGTTTCTACCTACAGACTTTGACAATTTCAGTTTTCCCCTGTTTGTACAGTACTTTCCCCTTGTGATCTGGGGATAGAGAAAATGTGTAGGTGCTGCTAGCAAGCTGATATCTAATTCAAAAGCAAAAGGTGATTGTCTTTTTCCTCTCTGGAAAATTTATTTATTATTTACCCTTTTTCTGTTTGGAGGAAACTCTATAATTGAACTAAACTGAATACTAACTAGTGTGTAATTCTTTTGAATGAATATATTCAAATACTTTTTCAGATTATTCTTTCTATTTTTCCTTTTGAGATTGTGTTGCAAACAGGAAGATAACTTGGGCAAATAAAATAAGGGATTGACAAAACGAAAGTGTGAGTTAATATTTTAAAAATAGATGCCTTTGCCTACTTTTTTGTTGTTGTTGCTGTTGTTCTATCATTTATTTAATCAGCAAATATTTATATGTGCCAGACACTATATCTCAAAGTGAGATCTCACTTTATATCTGTGTTGACACACAAAGATGGGTAGAATACCATGTGTGTCTTTTAGAGAACTACAGGGGAGACAGAGAACCCATGAGAGGTATCTTTATATAATGCTCTTGGTATCTGTTGCTTATGTTGTAAGACATATGGGGCCCAAGTAAAAAGCGTGTGCTGTGCACTTTTCACATGATATGGTGAAGCAGCATGTTCTGTAGAGTACAGAGTCCTGGGCCAATTGCTTTACTCCTCTGAGCCTTTGAATTTGTAAAGTGAGATGACTACATTGTGGTTTTGTTATGAAGACTGAAAGAAATTTCATATGCAGAGATAGTGTAATGCTCAGCTCATAGACCCTAAAAGAATTCATATCAAAGAATGTCTGATTTTTTTCATTTGTTTCCTATCAATAAACTATGACTTTTCAAAAGCATTATACCAACTTTCTGCTAAATGTACTTCCTCCTAATCAACCTTTACTGACTACTTAACATCACGTGAAACAAAGAGGTATATAAATTAAGGTCTTTCCATTGGGTTACTTGTCAAACATATTTTTTCTTATCATTATTATGATGCTGCAGATTAGAAAAAGAATCTTATGCAAATGATATGAAAGAATATTTTTGCATTAATTTTTGCCATTCTTTTTTTTGTGTCTCTTTAGATATGAACAGTAATGGCACATATTTTGGTTACGAGTTGCTCTGTGGACTGTGGGTTCAATGAAAGTGTATCCATCCCCATCATGACGTATGACACCAAGACTCTTCACTAGTAGGTATTTTTTTATTTGGTGTCATTCACATGGTTATAGATTGAGATTTTTCAACAGTGTACCTACCTTTATAACAAAAAATGTGCAAAATGCATGTGTTCATGTTGCCGAAATGAAATATGGCTAGCTCTCATCTATTTCTGTATCTACCAAGTGTATAATAAAGAAATTTGCTAAAATGTATTTATTATGTATAGTAGTATGGTAATATATGTGTATCTATATAGGCAGAATTTAGAAGTATGGAATTGTACCTCTCTTTTAACTGAATTTTTAAAAGGCATTGGGGATTTTGAGCATCTTCTGGTTCCTTAATAGCTTATAGATCTGGAACCAATATAAGCCTAAAATGTTTTACCTAGCTTATATTTTGAAATAGTTCGATTTTGTTGTAGTTTTATCCAAAGGGATTTGATGTACTTCCACATACACATGTATTATATTGATGGTTGATATACAAAATATTAGGTTGTTGTGCAAAGGGAATGATAATCAGAAGATTTAATTTTAGTTTCAGCTTCAACATTAACCCTCAGGCTAGTATCTTAATCTCTAGGCCTCAGTTTTGTCATCTGAAAAATAAGAGAAATAATTTCCATTATATCTATTGCAAAATGGAAGGTCAAGTGAGGTAATGAATGTGAAATTGTCAGCAAACTGTAAAACTCCATAAGAATAAGTAATATTATCTGTGGTTGATTCCTGTTACAAATAGGATCTATGGCCGTACCACTCTGTGTCCCTGAGTCTCAACATGTTACAAAGCAGGGAGCTGGGAAAAGTTGTTACCATAATTTTTTTAATTGATTAATGCAGTTTGCTATTTGTTATGCTCGTCAACCAAGAAACATGATAAAATCATAATTGATTTTAATTTATGACCCAGATTAATTTTGCATATTTGAAAAAATATGTTTAAATGAAATAGAAAAAGCATATGAAGGGGGCCAAAAAAAACCCCAGAATTTATTTATTTAAAAAATGTGTATTTATTCTTACATGTTTAAACTTCATTCACCTTCAAAATAGTCTTCATTGGATGCAATACATCTATCGAGACACTTTCCCCACTGCTCAAAACAGTTTTTGAACTCGTCAAGTTTGATGTCCTTTAGTGCTTCTGCCATTTTTTGTTTCACCTCTTCCACATCGAAAAACTGTTTCCCATTGAGGATTTTTTCATCTAGAGAAATTAAAAAAAAAAAGAAGTCACTCAGGGTGAGATAGGGTGAATAGGCAGAGTAGGGTATGGGGCTAATGTCGTTTTTGGTTAAAAACTGCTGAACATAGTGCAGTGTGGACGGGTGCACTAGTAAATCACCCCTCATCAAGTAGGCAATGCATTGAAAAAAATTCACTAAAGCTAAACACAGCTTCTCACAGCAACACTAGCTGGTACACTGATGCCAATGGGTTCCTAGAACACTTACCTAGCGAGGGAAGCTTGTACTTCAAGGAGCCCACCCTCCAGAAAGTAATTCCGGGTTTTCTTGGGTTCTCTCCTATATTTCTCACACATACACACGTCAATTCTACTACCATAAAGAGTTTCTGTTTCTTTTCTCCAACTTGTTATTCTCTTATCAGATTTTATCTATTGGGTATTTACACTTGGAGGAGAAAGACACATTTTTATGTATACTGGAATTTTAGGAAATTAAGGATACAGTGTAGGAATTTGATCAGATAGTACTTGTTATTTAATATAATATTTGATACCTTTGTTTATGGAAGTCTCTTTAATATCTTTTATGACTATTCTTTTTAGCTAACAGAATGCAGCTAGGCTGTTTAAAATGAAAGACTGAAAATGCAATCTTAACAAATATATTCGGTAATATTGAGAAAGACTTTTCCACTAAATTTAAACAAGTTACATAACCAGCTTATGCAATGAAACTGGATTGCAAATTCTTTTCCAGAAATTAGATATGATTTTCATTGAAGTGGCAATGGTTTATTACATGAATAAAATGTTTGCATGTAAATGAAACAAAAATCTTATGATAGGTGACATTCTGGCTGATATTGTAGCATAGTATTTAAGTATGCAGGGTCTATAGTCAGAGTCCCTGAAGTTGCAACCCAGTTCCATCATTTTTCAGCTTTGCAAAGCTAGACAGTAATTTAACCTCTCTGTGCCTTAGATTGCACAGCTGAAACATGAGGCTAATTATGAGATAATATCACATGGGGTTGTTGTGTAGGTTACATGAATTAATATGATAGAGTATTTAGAAGCACTGCATGACACTTAAGTACCAATTAGTTCCCTGGGGAGTGTGTGAATATCATGATGAGCATAAATTTTAGAATCCAAATGCCCCAGGTTTAAAGTCTTTTATTAATAAATTGTGAAACTTAGGCTAAGAACCTCTGTTTCCAAGAAATAAAATGGAAAAAATTATACTCTATGCTGTTTTGTTAGGATGATACAGCGCAGCATCTGGCAAAGAATGGTAGCTATCACCTTCATTGGGAGTTGTAAAGATATAATCACAAATTATTATATAGTGTTATTTTAAAATAATATAAATCAGAGCTCTTCTGAATTTGCACATGTCTTTGCCATATGTTATATTTAGGAGACTTTTATAAATGTACCAATTATAAGATTTCCTTTGCTAGATTCAGAATTTCAAAAAATACAAACAAATAATTAAAACCAAATTATAAAATGCAAACATAACTTGAATGTGGAATCGTGATTTGAAAAATTAAAAAATAACAAAAACCCATTGACTTTTTTAGGCCTATCAGTGAACATCAGATGAATGTTTAATTTGTTATGAAATGTAGACTGTTTCCATGTCTAAAATGATTTTTTTTTCAAGAAAGAAAAAGAGGACAAAGAAACAAGAGAGGTGGTAGAAATGTATTACAAAGTATTAGGGAGTAAAGCCTTCAACTTTCACTTTCATAATCATAGTTCTGTATCAGACTGTGTACTTGTTTTTATTATAAATCACCTAAAGATATTTTCCTTTGAGCTTGCATTGGACAAAACTCAGTGGTTGTAATGGGTGGTATTTTCCAAATGAGTCATAGCTTGTTCTCAAGGTGGAAAGTGCTGATTACATGGGGCAATATTTAGAGCCAAGAGCATGACACAGTTTTTATGCCCATCTCTCTAATTTAGCCAATGCCCTGGCTGACATATATCACTCAGACCAAATAGCTAAGTCTTGTCCCTCACATGTTAATTCTAAACCAACTAAAACAACAACAGTCTTTGATTTGTCCATCTCTGTATCTATTCATACCAGCAGCCAGAGAGGATTTCACATGTAGATTTAATCTGACTTGTGTATAATTCAAATTGTGATGTTATTTATGGTTGCTTTGCATGCTCCCGTTTGTTCTTCTTGATGTTTATTTTTGTAGTAGCTTTAGTCTTTAAAGGGTTTTCCCTCAATGAGGACAGTGGTGATTGTGGAGAAGACTTTTGAGTGTAAAAGCCTTGGAGATGCATTCCTAGGTAACAACCCATATACCATGGACATGGGTATAGGCTTGGCTGCTGCTGTGTGTTGCCTATGGGGAGACATAGGTGAGAGATGTCCCTGGTGCTTATGTTGTGCTGTCCTACTTCCCAGATCCTGTATCATTTCCTACTTCTAATCCTTCAATGTGGCCAACATTCACATTTTAAGTCACATTTTAGGATATAGACTGTAATAAAAAGAAAACGCAGGGCCATGCGGTTGGAATGCCAATCTTTGTCATGGATTTCCATTTTCATGGTCTGATGACCACTGTATATTGGTGATGCTTACCTTAAAAAATATTTGTGGCTTTAGAAGCCTCCTTATAAAGGAGAGTGATTAAGTCTATTATCGATCTAATGCTTCTTAAAGAGTATCTCTAAAAACTAAAGAAGAGTGACTTGTTTCATTCAATATCACAGGGCCAGAATATGAAGGAGATATGGGGGCTAATATAATTTGGAGATAAGAGAGAGGTGAAACCTTTATCGATGTGATTTTGAGAATAGGTAGGCATCATTAGGCCATAACTTTAAGCTTAACATAATCATGGCGAGGGAAAGAGTGTAAGCCTAGGAACAGAGTTGTGAAAGAACAGGCTGTAATACAGGGTAAGCAGAAGCTGAGCCTTCAAGGAGAAAGCCTAATGAAGAGTGACTGGAAGTGAACTCCCCAGAGGGGTGTATGGGAGGGCTCTCTCCTGTGCCTACTGCAGATCTCTGCCTTTTGGCTGACCAAGCTCCACCTAGAAGTGACCCAGCCTCACTTTTCATGGCCCTGTGACCTCCTTGTGCTCGCATATACTGGCCATCAACCAGACTCTTGTTCTTCCTCCTAAACTCAGATTACATGCTCTGTTGTTTATGAAAGCTTCCTTATTCTCTTCTTGCAATTGACTGTTCCCTCCTTTCTCCTCTGTTCTGTGTGCCTGCTGCTATTATAGAACAGGCTCACTTCTTTTGCAGTGATTGGTTGACATACCACCTCACCCATTACCCTGTTAGCTTGTGAGGGTTGTCCCTGTCTTATTCATTGTTGTTTTCTCAGTGTTCAGCTCTCAAACAACAGTTAGTGATTAAATTAATGATTCAAATGGTTGATAATGTCATTTGTCCTTACATTGAACAAGAAATAATTGTATTTGCCGTGACACAAAGATTTCTATGAAATGTCTTTCAATATGGATATTATCTTGAAATTCCTAATATAAATCTGTAAAAATTGCAAATGAAAAATGAAAAGTGGCAACTTTTAACCTACTAAGATGTTTATATAATTTTAAACCCTTTTAGCAAAAGATAACAGAAATTGTGAAAATGTATATCTGACTCTACTCACTACCTTATTAGTTCACTATTGTTGGTGTGTTTGTTTATTTATGTCCCTGTTGTGCTTGAATATTTTATTTTTAGAAGAGTATTTCAACAATTATGAAATATTATTTGAGCTCATGTTAACCGAAGGTGGAATGATTTTTCTCCATATGAGTTAATTTTAAAAAATAATTCTTAGCG